TTATTATTATTATTATTATTATTATTATTATTATTATTATTATTATTATTATTATTATTATTCTTAGGGTTATGTACCAATCTGAGCTGAACTGAGAATCAGTTCCTGTATTTGAATTGAGGTAGCAAACATAATGCAGAATTGTAATTTGAATATAAGGAAGTTAAGATATTCAGTAGATATTACAAGATATTAAGTATTGAATAAAAAATAATAAAATAAGTATAAAAATAGTATGTATATACAGTATATATATATATATATATATATATATATTTGACTAGAAACAAGACAAAAATACTAAGTAATAATACAAGCACAAACCTGACTGTCATGACGAAGACTGAATTCTCACACAGTTGTGTAGTCTGGCCTGCTAAACCCTGCGGCTCTGTGCAGCCTCACTTCTAATACATCACAATGACTGCTCCCACAGCAATGAAAGTATGTATTGACAAAATGATGGCTCGCTAATACTCAGTTTTCCACAAATCAGGCCTCTTGGGAGTTCTGTGCTCATTTACACGGGCTAACAACAAATCTAAGCGCAACCCTGGTGTCGATTGCCATTTTCTTTCTGCGTCTGCATTTAGCTTTGGTCACTGACGCTGTTTCATGATATAATATACTTCAGGGCCCACACATCTTCATTCTTAATTGAGATCAAAGTTCAATTAAGATGGAGGTGGATTTTGAAGGAGCAATTGGTGAAGTTTAGTTCCACTAGCAGAAAACTAGACAGCTGTTGACTTTTTGAGAAAGGTCAGGGCACGAGCATCGCTCTGAGAAACGGCGTGTCAGTTTTAATGAACAGCATGACCTTAAACAATGGAGCCGGATCAGTCATTTTTCCAGATAATATTCAAAGTGAATGAACCCCTCTGTGTGTGGATGTGAAGGAAATATCGATGCCAGTAATAGAACTGACACTTGTTTTGCTCAAAGCACTGTACCTCTTTCTCATGCAAACATCCTGCGTTCTCGGAGGAAGAGGAAACACCTAATATCTTATTTATAATTCATCAGCACAAATAGATGAAAAATGGAACTCTTAAGTTCTGAAACATTGTTGCACTTGATTAGAATAGTAGTTCATTTAAAGGTGCAGCATGTAAAACAGCTAACGGTTGAAATTGCTACTGCAAACTTGGCCAGGCAGACATAACTTGGAAAATTTAGTTATTTCTTTTTAAATTTAATGCTGTTGTGTTTTTATGTAATTTTGATATCTTATTTGGTATGTTATTCCTGTTAAAAACCAATAAACATTTAGTTTAAAAAAAGAAGAAGAAGAAAATAAATAAATTGTTACTGCAGTCCAAATTCAAAATATTTGAGAGTTGTTTCTTCTGTTGTTTCTTCAGACTCAATGCTTACGTGGGTTGCAAGATTGAGGAACACCTTACACTCTTAAGTTGATTAATTGATTTATCCGCATTTTAATTTGCTTTTTTATGCCGATGCTTTTCAGGTTGTGTAGAATCTGATTTCTGACCCACTTTTTTTGCTGGCTTCCATGGCTGAAGTACGCTGTGTTTTCCGCCAACTGGCAACCCAGAGTGTCGAAATATTATTGGGTAAATTTGCAGTATGTGGAATCACACACAAATATGTGAACTGAGCATGTTTTCTTAATATCTACAAACGTTACAGTATTTTTATGCTTTAGTACAGTCAAAAAAAATTACCCAGCACCTTTAGAAATCATTATGGAGAATATTTTTATGTACCAATCAGGCAATTTTTTATGCTTTTTATTTTAATTTTTTCTGGAGTTGTTTATTCCTGTAAAAGAGGGGAAATATGATGGTTGCTCAATTTTTATTTATTTGTTTAGAAACTCTGTGTATGAAAGATGCAAATGACATCTGCTTTGTACAATGAAAGTATCTTCAGTTTGACCAAGGTATTCTTCATAATGGTGCAGAAAATGTTAGAAATGATTGTATTTTCAAGATAATGTAAAGAGTTATTGCTCTTCAAGTATTTGCATCAATTTGTGCACTGTGTGAGTGTGAACAGAACTCAGCGATAATTATTTTCAAGCATAACATGATGTGATGTACCTGCTGCTCTAAAACTGCATATAGTTGCTTCTGGACCACCAATCTCCATTGCATGCTTCCATCTGACGTTGCTGTCTAGTGGGGTCATGCAAGGGTGACCGCTGACAGACTTTCAAATTGCATCATTTTGGCAGCGGCAGGTCCTATATAGAGCTGATATTTCACAGGTCAGCACGTGCAACACCAGTCAGACCTTTCGGAGCAGGACTTACCTGATGTCCCTGACCTTTTAAAGAAGTCAGAACTTACCTCTCAGCGAGAAGAAACACAATAACTTTGCCAATGTTCATTTTCCCCTGGGATTCTCTTTGTGCCATCTCTTATTAGGGGGGAAACTCATCTAGATGTTTTTACGATCTTTGTGGCTTCATGGAATTGACATATGCTAGGCTTCCAAACAATGCACTCCGATCAGACAAGACAGACATTTATATTACAGTGTGCCACAAAATAATTTTTTTAACTCTTATGACCTCAAAATAAAACATAAATATCTTGACTTTTATGAAGTAAATAAATATTATATTATCTATCTATCTATCTATCTATCTATCTATCTATCTATCTATCTATCTATCTATCTATCTATCCATCTATCCATCTATCTATCCATCCATCCATCCATATTATGAACTCTAGTTGCTATATTTGACCGTACCTCAAAACAGCTCATAAACCTCAGGATTATGATTCCAGATTTAATATATAGAAGATTTATGAAAATTCTGTGGGCTCCTGCTTCGCCCCCGCTCCGTGCTTTCTGACGATGATCATAAATCACTAACGATTATTATTCAGAAGGTCATTTACCACACTCTATTTTTTTATTGATATTCTTACCTTTTTAATTACACTCTGGTGGGACTTCCCCTTATATCCTGGAGCCAACTCTAATTTAGTGTCTGTCATAATAATAAATTGAGAATATCATTACCGCCATCAGCATGTGCTCACTAGACTGGATTTGCAAGCGGTTTTCTAATTTCAGAATCAGCCTCAGAGGTACTTGTTATGTTTGCTGTAATCAAATTAAAATCCCATCAACACACCAGATGTGTCAGAATTTGGAGTCAGACCGTTCCCTGTCCTGCTTTAGACCCCCAAGGGTCTTTCATTCTAAGGAAAATATGCTAAAGAGATGAATAGAGTAATATACTTGACAGATAATCTCTGTCAACGTAAAGACTGTAGGTTTAAAGGTCTCATTTTCCTTTTATCACGGCCCCAATTTATTTATTATAATGACACATGTCATATTGTGCTTGACTCCAGAGCTTATCTGCTGGATTGAGTGCTCCGTTGATGAGACATCTGGTTTCATAGCAGTTTTTTAGTGTTTAATGTAAGTATGTCAGGAAAATCAGCAACTGACTTATCAGCACTGGCTACTATACAGAGCAGGTCATTTAGTCTAGTTCAGACCAGTACCATCAGAAAATGAAAGCATGCACAGTTGCCATGGTTTGAAACTCTTGAGCTGCATGTGCTCTTGTAGAGCGCTAAAAGAAGTATAATTAGTTTCCATTAATCTAGTATCAGTTTTGCTGATATTCTTGTATACATGTTTATCTAGATGGAAATGCTAGTGCTTGTAGGGCTGTAAAAA